ATTACCAATTCTCAAAAGCATACTTAAAGGCAATTTTAAATATCATAATGCACGTAAGTTTCAACTTTTTAATATTAAACAGACACCTAGCTTTTTGAATACGTTTATTTACTTTTAAATAAAAGTTTAAATATAGTTGAATTGGCCGACTTTCATAAAGAGAGAATTCCTATTAATCTACTTGCATTGTGATTGATTTCAATGTACTTCGATCAATCTTACTATTGGCTCTTTAAAGCATACGTTAAATTGTTTGTGTTCTCATTTTTTACTTTCTTTTTTCAGTTCACCAATATTTTCAACTATACTTTGCTTTCAAGTTTTTTAATACAACTTTTTTTTCTCTTCTCTGAAAAATATGTTCATCGGAGAAAAGTTTTCATTTTCGATTTCATTTGACCCCAATTTCGCCGGCCTGCATAAATATATGCCAGTGAGATTTCTTCATTACTATAATCGTTGTTATTGTGCGCTTCGTTTTTTAACTGGGGCGTGCAACGACAAAAGCGCAGACGCAAAATGGTTAACTTGTTGACTTCTTCGTAACTATTTACCTCTCACTTTATTTTGTGCTGCCATGAAAACGGGTGTATGTATGTACATAAAACACTATACACTATTTCTACCTGTTTAAATTTCGTTACCAATTTCGTTTGCTAGTTAATTATTTACTGTGTTGTCCACACAATGTAGTTAAGCGACCGCGAAAGCAAAGAGAGAACTTTTTGCACATAGTCTTTAAATTTCGAAATTTAATTTCTTTGATATATAAAAAATTTTTGAACGGTGTTGGTACTCTTTAAATATAAATATGTATGCATATAAAAGATCAGTCAATTATTTGTATTTAGTGGTGCAAGTCTGCTATTATAAATTTGGTCTTATTACACCTTCTCACTTTTAATTTCTATTTTGTTCTCTTTTATTAAATACTTTCGTTACTTTCTGTCAGAAAAATGAAATTATCATTAGTAAAAGTTTACACATCAGCGGATGAGAAATCGGTATTTTGATGAAGTTTGACGACAACACAGTTCTTGTTTTACAGTGTTTAATTAAATTCCTTTCAATTAAAACATTATTGTAATAAACAGGAATAAAGCATTAGTAAAATGCAGAACAATATTATTAATTTTAAAAATATGTTCCAAAAGAGGAGTCCATGAAGATTAGATCAATATGATTTTATATTTATAMAAATTTCCCTTAAAAAAGTTATTTATACCTGAAGAAAAATACTATCACTCACTTTAGACGATTAACTAAACTTATTCCGATATTAATTAGCGGAAGAAAGTGCCTATGTATTTTATAATTATTAAATATTATTTACAAACCACATAATACATATGTATTATAATTTATATCATTTTGTCTTATTTGCAGCGGTTCGTTTTGGCCGAGTCCCAAAACGTGAGAAAGCGAGAATATTAGCTGCTATGCAGCAGAGTACACAAAATCGTGGTCAACAACGTGCGTTGGCAGGAGAATTAGATGATCAACCCAGACTTATAGCTGCTGTACTTCGAGCTCATTTAGAAACTTGTGAGTTTACAAAGGAAAAAGTTTCTGCAATGCGTCAAAGAGCAAGAGATTGTCCGTCATATTCGATGCCAACTCTATTGGTAAGTAAATATAATATTATCTATTTACTAAAGTTAATATATTAAAATCTATCTCTTTWCTTATTACTGCTGTATTTAAGTGAACATTTTTTAACGGTTAAAAGTCTCTTAAAGAAGTATTATTAATCTTTGTTGCGAAAATTTTCCGTAATAATTAAATGCAAATACCATACATTGGTATCTACCGAAATTCCAAATCGTTAGATTTGTTATGAAATGAAATAAAATAACTTATGTATTATTTGTTTTTGTGTGCTTTACGCTAAGCTTGTTAATATGTCATTATTCAAATTTATGCAAAGTCTAACAGCAACGTCAGCAAGAATGCTGCAAATAACACAGCAAATCGTAACAAAGCCCAAGCAGAATATTATACTATACTTGTCTACAACAAATAAGAGCACAATATTAACCTTGTGCCGAAGTTTTTTAACCTTGAATTTGACTCTCGTTGATAATAAAATAGCGAAAAGACAAAAAAACACGCCAAATTGTTCCAAAATATTTTTTTTTTTAATTGTACGAACCAAAATTCAGTTTTGCTCTCCCAACGCATACACACTGGAAGGTAAAATTAGAGTTTTTGCTCCTCTGGAGAATTATTAGGTATGTGTGACCGTTTTTACGCCTAATAGCAATTTCTGATACATTCTCTTTTCACTGGAAGTTTTCTTATGGAATTTGAGAAACATAAATGGGCTGTCATTTAAATTGAATTGTTACTAATAATGACTATTAAATTTCGGTCTTTACTGTATCAGCGGTGCATTGATTCTGCCCAGACACATGCGCACTTGTCCCAGMCAACGGACGTCACAGTCACATCAAAACAAACAAATAAATAGCAATGTAGGTATGGACATTTAGAACGGCAACTTAAACATATAAGCACACGCGGCCAAATACTCAAATATATAGCCGTATAAAAAATCTAAATAGAATAGAAGCATGGTACGCATGACCTTGGAAAATACGAGGAAATTATTTCGTAGCTCCGTATGCTTGCAATTCTCATCACCCCCTTCTGTCTTGGCCATTGCTTTCTTATTTTGGTTCGTCTATTGATCAAGTTTTTTTGGGTGGCTACTCGTATAATACTAATTTGATATACGAGTACACACGTAAATTTAACAATATTTATAATAACAAATACACCTTTGCATAAATGTATCTACATATGTACATATGTATGTATGTGCATATAAATATTCATATTTTTCGATTCTTTTTGATTTGCTAAATTTAACAAAATTAAAGGCGGAAAAATATATACATAAATGTATGTATAGTACAAATGCTAATTATTGGCATGTAATATTTATGTAGAATTCTCTTCATGATTATAATAATAAAAGATATTCCTTTAAAATAATAAAATTTTACCCAACTTAAAATCGAATAAATACCAATTTTCGTTATATGTCGATGAAGTTTGATATAATGAAGAATGAATTTGTATTTCGTTGTTGTTTTTAAATTTAATAATGTTTTCGGCATTTTTATCTATTGATAAGTATTATTTTAACTTTTGGCCTAGTCTATTACGTTGAAATTAAACAAAAAAGCTTTAGTTAATGCCCTTGGAAAAAATCTTGACAACACAGCAAAAGTTCAAGTTTAAAGTTCAACTCGTCATATCTGAAGCACGATGTGATAATTTTGAAATATCTTTTAAACCATTATTTACTGTTTTAAGTAGCCTCAAAATTTTTTGCACAACACCAATAAATGAAAAGCTTTCTAACTTTCGTATGGTATGGGTAGAAATACTACTATACGTATGTACATATGTGTTTAAACAACCATACTGTATGAAGATGAAACCTTGAACTATAGTTCGTCGACCTTGAATAGAATATCAAAACGAATCGTAGCGCATATACAAAACTTAATTTATGCGTACATTCAARAACCGAGCTTTTTCCTTTCCATTCTGAAATGTAAGAAGAATCATAAGTTCACTCTACACTCTTTACCTTAAAATAGTGCTTCAGAGAATGATTTAATTTTGAAGAATTTTTGTACACATTTGAGCTTTTGTCAATATAATTTCTCTTTCTAAGTGCTTTTAACAAGAAGTAAATGCTCTTACTCTGAATTATACTCACATTGGAATACAAGTCACAAATTACTTACTACATACATAACCGGCGCATGTGCTGAAAAAAGCAATGTTATATGCACAGATATCGATTTAAACGTTTTGTGGAAAATGTGACCTTCAGTGAGACCTTAACATTGCAATCAAATATTTATATATATGTAAATACAAATATGTGTAGGAAAATCATTCTTAGGACGTTATGCATTTTAGAGAAGCAAAAAAATTAACCAGTAAATTAGAAACGGTTTATGTTATAACAACGAAATATGCACTAAAAATATGCATTTTATTATATAATGTGATTTTTTTTTTTAATTTCAATAGCACAATTTACTTATTACGATAAATTATATTTTATATTTTTAGGCTTGTCCTCTGAATCCTGCCCCTGAGTTACAATCAGAGCAAGAGTTTTCCCAACGATTTGCCCATGTCATACGTGGCGTTATTGACTTTGCGGGTATGATACCTGGTTTTCAACTGCTTACACAAGACGACAAATTTACTTTGCTAAAAGCAGGCCTTTTCGATGCGTTGTTCGTACGTTTGATTTGCATGTTTGATTCCTCTATCAATAGTATTATATGTTTAAATGGACAAGTTATGCGCCGCGATGCAATACAGAATGGAGCAAATGCACGTTTTTTAGTGGATTCCACATTTAATTTTGCTGAGCGAATGAATTCCATGAATTTATCAGATGCAGAAATTGGACTATTTTGTGCAATCGTTCTTATCACACCAGATAGACCGGGCTTACGAAACATTGAATTAATCGAAAAGATGTACACTCGATTAAAAGGTTGTTTGCAAAAAGTTATAAGTCAGAACCGTGCTGATCAACCGGATTTCATGTCTAAATTGTTGGACACAATGCCCGATTTGCGAACACTTAGCACACTTCATACAGAGAAATTAGTAGTTTTTCGTACAGAACACAAAGAGCTATTACGCCAACAAATGTGGACAATGGACGATGAGCAATCAACGAATATTAAGAGTCCTGTTATCAATTGGGATGATGCTCGTATGGACGTTGAAGCCAAAAGCCCTCTTGGTTCAGTATCAAGTACTGAATCGGTAGATTTGGAATACAGCACCTCCTCTACCACATCAGCGCCACACCATCGCGTTAATAATCTAGAACAGCAACCGTCAGCATTAGCTTCGTCAACTCCTTTGTTAGCGGCAACATTATCTGGTCCATGTCCTCTACGTAACAGAGCCAATTCTGGCTCATCTGGCGATTCTACCACTGAAATGGATATTATGGGCTCCCATGCACACCTTACGCAGAATGGGTTAACAATCACTCCAATTGTTCGAACGCATTCCCACCAACAGTTGCATCATCATTTGACTACTGGCGCTCCAAACAGATATCGCAAATTAGACTCACCAACTGATTCAGGCATCGAATCCGGTAATGAAAAGAATGATTGTGTTATCAAAGTTGTAAGCTCTGGAGGCAGTTCCTCTTGTTCTAGCCCACGTTCTAGTGTAGATGATGCATTAGATTGCACAGATACACCTGCAGCAAGCACCAGTCAAGTTAAGTTATCTGTTTCTCCTGTTCGTTCACCTAAACCTATCGCTCCAACATCCACCTCATCTTTAACTGGAATAGTTAGCACGCCAAATGCCCTCAAACGTCAAATTGTCGAAGATATGCCAGTATTGAAGCGAGTATTAGAAGCGCCGCCACTTTACGATACCAATTCCCTAATGGATGAAGCTTACAAGCCACATAAAAAATTTCGAGCATTACGACATCGTGAAATCGAAATTGCAGAGGCAGATCCAAGTTCCACATCTAATAATTCTTTAAATACAGAGAAAATAACCACACCAAAAGCAGATGCAAATAACACGGTACAAAGTTCGCAAGTGGCAACAGCAGCAAGTAGTCCACCGCCGTTTATTCAATCAACGGGTACAGCTTCTACTCCATTTGTTACTTCTCATTGCACAGTAACAACAGCGTCATCTCCACATTCCGCTATAACAGGAAGTTCTTTAAACAGCCATCAGCAGAGTCAGCTACATATGCATTTGACACGTCATACGAGTTCGAATCATAATACTAGTAGCAATGGTAACCAAAATCATACTAGTAATGTACCGCCACAACATCAATCTTCTTTATCTAGTACACATTCAGTTCTCGCTAAATCCCTGATGGCTGAACCACGTATGACTCCAGAACAAATAAAAAGATCTGATATCATCCAAAACTACATTATGCGCGATCAAGCATCATGTTCTTCAGGTTCATTGATTCCTGGCACTCCAACCCATACCAGAGCACGAAGCCCAGCACCAGTGCAGCATCTATCCCCAATGAATCAGACTTCCCACCATTATACATCTTCCCCATCTTCAAGTAATTCTCCAACTTGCTCAAGCACAGTCTGTAGTTCATCTTCGACTACAACAATAACATTAACTTCACCACCAAACTCTGTTAGCCCAACTGTTACACGATGGCACGGTCACTCGGTTATAACGACAACAAACATCAACCAGCGCCAGCAATCTGTTTCGCCAAGTAGTAATGGGTCATCTTCATCATCATCTTCATTAAATGGCTGTCAATATTTTCAATCTCCACACTCCACATCAACTGCAGTATCTCCCCCTCGCCCGTCGCCATCAGCTATTCATTCACCCCCACGCTTAATGGAATTGCAAGTGGACATTTCCGATTCACAACAACCGTTGAATTTGTCAAAAAAGTCACCAACACCACCCCCAAATAAGTTGCAGGCATTGGTAGCGGCAGCAACTGCGGTACAAAAATATCCTACCGTTTCTGCCGATATAACTGTTACACCGGCTAAAACTGAAAGTCCGCAAACTGTAACCACTGTGCCAGCAAATAGTACGCAGCAACTACAGGTCATGCTGGAAGCGTAAGCTTAATACATATACATCTGAGTTAGTGAATATTTTCGCTATATAATTTTATGTAAAGAATGCACCAGTATAAAGGATATTTTGAGATTATTCGAAAGAAAATATAAAATGTGCGTGGTATGATATTAAGAGGAAAATTTGGATTTGTACCAAAACCTAAAAGTTAATAAAATTAGGTAACAAAAAAGAGAGAGACTGAATATTCATGTATGTATATATAAAAAAATATGAAATATTTTAAAGTATTGATGCTAAATGAATATGTTACTTGGCGTGAATGAATTAATATGTTATTGGGACGATCTTTAATTAACAAAAAAATAAATAAATAAACACAGAAATATGCGTACATTTGTATAAATGCATAAATATACATACATATATCTTTTCCTTAAAACTTCTGAAGTTGATAGTAGTGAAAACTGATAAATAATTATAAACTATAACTTATGTATTAAATATAAAGAAGAACTGTATATGAATCGAGCATGGATGTATTTTAGAAGATGTAAAAATTGTGACAAACGAGTTATAAATAGAAGTATAAGGAGAGTTGCCATTTTGCATTCAGTTTTTCAATTCATAAAAGAATTAAAGATTTTAATTGTATATTTTCAAATTTGTTATTATGATTTTCTGGAAAATTTAAACCAAAATTTAACTTTTTTGCATATGTGTGTATACTAAATATTTTTAATCAAAATTGTTGTGATCTTTTTTTTTTTGTCATCCAAATATGTACTGTATTACATTAAACGATTGGTGTTTATAAAAAATTTAATGGCAAATCCTTACAACTTAACGACTGTATCTTCGAAGCACACAAAATAAACTGTACAAAATGCATGCAATATAGATTTAAAATACCATAACATACCGTGACAAAAATAATTAATTATGCTACACTTCCTTTTAAATCTAATACGTATATGTATTTGCAGTGGAGAGAATAATTTTAATTGTAAGGCAATGAAATGTTTTTTAGATACATGGCACAACGATATGATATTATATATATGTTAATTTATATATGCTGTATTACATTAAAATTGAGTACATATAGATACATACATATGTGTATTTTATTGAATTATCTATAAACTAAATTCCGGCGCAGAGGTGTTCCCATAAAAAACTCAAACGCCGTTATCGAAACCATTTTTTGCTCGGAAAATTTTGAGATCAATGTATAATCAAAAGAAACAGATATTTGAAATCTAGATTTGCATAATTTAGCAAATTGAAGAAAAATGTCTACTGTATTAATTTAAGATATTCATAATTATAATTTCTGGAAAGAAATGTTGTTCCAGTGGTCCAATATGATTTAATATTGAAAACTCTACGAGTTTTTCAATAAGCAAAAAAGTTGATTAATGTTTAATTCTTCCTTACTATATATGCATAGTAAAATTTTGCTTTCATAAGCAGTTTTACTTTAGGGATCTTATTTTATAATAAAATTGTTTTATTGTTCGTTGGTTTGTTTTATCATTATTATTGGAATCTTCTATTTATCTGTTGGAGTGATAAATTTTTAACGTGTTACTTTTCTAAAAATAATTAATATTATTGTTTTCTAAATTTATAATATGTATAAAGTTCTAAATAATTTTAAAATGTATATATATTGTATATAATTTTTCTAATTTAATAAGCACATTAAGATAAAAAATATTCCCTAAGTTAATTTTTGTGTGCATATGTGTTTCCAATTATTGAATGTATTGGCCGTTGATGTATTGTTTAATTTAAAACAAGTTCTTAAACTTTCATTTATTCTCATGTTAATATGATAAGAGAAAGTGAATTTATTCTTATTAGTAATATTAGTAGTATAATGGTAGTATGCTATATTTGTAGTAGGTACAAAAATAAAATTTTTTCAAATACACACACATATTTAAAATAAATTAAAATATTTGCGTTTAATTTTTATGAGTTGAAATTTGAAATATTTTTTTATTATTAACTGCACTGATATCTAAACGCATACGTAAAGCCTTTTTTCTACAACAATGTTTTTTTAATTGATAACTAAATTTGAACAACAAAGTATTTATATATTTGTGCATATAAATAGTTTAGCTGGTTAGCGATTTCCTTAATACATCATTAATATCTTATATGTATTTGGTATGTACGTATACATATATATCAACTTATAAAAACAGTAAAACAGTTAAATCAACAGTCTAACAGGAATGGAATTATATTAGAATATCAAAAGATGCTGATGAAAAACTGTACGGATAGGTGAGCGGAATCAAATATTTTGGAATGGTTAGTATTTATAATAATTAATAAGTACATATTCACATATAAATATACATATTTCTTCACTAATTTTGATAAATATGGTTCTCATTTTAAAGCTCAAAATTAAATATTTATCTGGTTCAAAGCAGTCTTCTGAAGTTTATAGCAATAATCTACTTTACTGTCAAAGTACAGTTTTGTTTGTTTTTTTCTAAACATTGACGCTGTTCGGTAAGCTAAGAAGCTTAATGTTGGACAATGTCAAATTAGTACTTAGAAATACTTAGAACCTTAAAAAATGCTAACATAAATTAAAATTGGTTTCATTCACTTTTGACGACTTTTTTCT